TTTTTTATCTCTTATTTTCTTCTTCTTAAAGAATACTCTTTAACATTTCTGGCAGTACTGGTTTAGTGGTGATGAAATCTGTTAGCATTTTCTTGTCTTGGAAGTTCTTTATCTGTCCTTTGACTCTAAATGATAGTTTTGCTGGGTAGAGTAATTTTGATTGTAGATTGTTGTTTTCCATCACTTTGAATATTTCTTGCCATTCCATTCTGGTACATGTTAGCTGTCAGTATATTACACACAGGCTAATAATTCACAACATTTTGCATATGTTTTCACATTTAAGATTTGGAGTTGTGACTATACGTTTCTAGGAAACCAAGATGGCGGCATAGGTTAACGCCGGAGTTTGCTGCCTCGAACAACCTCTTCAAAAATATAACTAAAAGACAGAACGGACATCATCGAGAACCACAAGAAGGCTGGCTGAGTGGAAGTTCTACAACTAGGAGGAAAGGGAAAAGCATACCGAGACTCAGAGGAGGCGCAGAGCTGAAGTAAAATACTAAGGTGCAGAGTGCATGCGGGCGGGCTGGCGGCTGAGGATGCGGTTGTCTGTTTCAATCGGGAGGGAGTCTCAGACTCTGAGCTCCAGATCCGGGGGAGTCTCTAGGGACCCAGACTCAAACGGGAGAAGCGGGACTGTCTGGCTTCGGTCGGACTCAAAGGCAGGTTTCTCTCCGAGGTTTGCAGCGGTTGCTGGGACTCTGAGAGGCAGGGCCCCTGGGGACGGGACTGAGAGCAGCCATAACTGCTTGCTCCGCCCGCCCTGTAGATTCCTTGGGACCCGCCCCGCCCAAGCCCTGCACAGAGGCATTTGCCGGATAGCCTCAGGCAAAGGCTAGACTAGCACCTCCCTAGAGGACAGAAGTTCTCCCACTGCAGACACAGCTGATTCTCACAGCCAGTTGGCCTGGAGGTCAAATCCCCCCCAGTATTACCTACAACAATCAAGGCTTAACTACAACAAGACTGCGCACAAAGACCACTAGGGGGTGCACCAAGAAAGCATAAAAAATGCGGAGACAAAGAAACAGGACACAAATGTCAGAATTGGAGGATATAGAGCTCAAAACCACACTTTTAAGGTCTTTCAATAATTTTCTAGAAACTGCCGATAAACTTAATGAGATCTACAAGAAATCTAATGAGACCCTCGATGTTGTGATAAAGAACCAACTAGAAATTAAGCATGCACTGACTGAAATAAAGATTATACAGACACCCAACAGCAGACCAGAGGAGCACAAGAATCAAGTCAAAGATTTGAAATGCGAAGAAGCAAAAAACATCCAACCGGAAAAGCAAAATGAAAAAAGAATCCGAAAATATGAAGATAGTGTAAGGAGCCTCTGGGACAGCTTCAAGCGTACCAACATCAGAATTATAGGGGTGCCAGAAGATGAGAGAGAGCAAGATATTGAAAACCTATTTGAAGAAATAATGACAGAAAACTTCCCCTACCTGGTGAAAGAAATAGACTTACAGGTCCAGGAAGCGCAGAGAACCCCAAACAAAAGGAATCCAAAGAGGACCACACCAAGACACATCATAATTAAAATGCCAAGAGCAAAAGACAAAGAGAGAATCTTAAAAGCAGCAAGAGAAAGAAACTCAGTTACCTACAAGGGAATACCCATACAACTGTCAGCTGATTTCTCAACAGAAACTTTGCAGGCCAGAAGGGAGTGGCAAGAAATATTCAAAGTGATGAATAGCAAAAACCTACAACAAAGATTACTTTATCCAGCAAAGCTATCATTCAGAATTGAAGGTCAGATAAAGAGCTTCACAGATAAGGAAAAGCTAAAGGAGTTCATCACCACCAAACCAGTATTATATGAAATGCTGAAAGGTATCCTTTAAGAAGAGGAAGAAGAAGAAAAAGGTAAAGATACAAATTATGAACAACAAATATGCATCTATCAATAAGTGAATCTAAGAATCAAGTGAATAAATAATCTGATGTACAGAATGAACTGGTGATTGTAATAGAATCAGGGACATAGAAAGGGAATGGACTGACTATTCTTGGGGGGAAAAGGGGTGTGGGAGATGCGGGAAGAGACTGGACAAAAATCGTGCACCTATGGATGAGGACAGTGGGTGGGGAGTGAGGGCGGAGGGTGGGGTGGGAACTGGGAGGAGGGGAGTTATGGGGGGGGAGGGAAGAGGAACAAATGTAATAATCTGAACAATAAAGATTTAATTAAAAAAAAACGATTTGGAGTTGTGGCCATTTCCTTGCTTAAGATAAAATGATTATTTTCTACTTTTGTTCTTTATTGTAGTCCTCATACATTACCCAGAAGTCAAGCCTCATAAAATTCCACAAAATAGTTTTGTGTATTTACCAAAAAATATATATTTACTGCCATCTCATTTTTATTCTATTTTAAAATTACTTTTCTGTCATCCCAACTCAATCAAAATGTCCTTGAGGCCTGTTGTTTATCACTGAGTCATTCTTTTTCTTTCATTACATTTTGTTGCTTCAAATCTAGGTTCCTTAAAAATATTAAAATCCAAAAAAAAAATGTGCGTCGTTTTCTCTCGCCTTTTCTTGAATGGAATCAATGGAAAAATCAATAAATATAACAGTTTACTTAATGTAACTGTTTAAAAGAGTTTCACCCAGTGGGTGTGGCTCAGCAGTTGAGCATCAACCCAGAAACCAAGAGTAGCAGGTTCAATTCCTGGTCAGGGCACATGCTTGGGTTGTAGGCTCCATCCCCATTAGGGAGCTTGCAGGAGGCAGCTAATCAATGATTCTCTTTCATCATTGATGTTTCTGTCTCTCTCTTCCTTTCCCTTTCTCTCTCTAAAATTAATAAAAACCTATTTTTTAAAAAAGAATATAACTAGACAATCATATGACAAAGCGATTACAGATGTGAGTCATGGATCTAATTAATCACTTCAGTAGAAACACTGCCATCTTGGACTGAAGGGGACAGAGATGGGATGAAGTAAAGAAAGGCTGGTTGACTTCTGGGAGTCTACAAGTCATGTCAATAGAGCTATTTACCAGTAAAAAATATGGTGCTATTTCTCCCACAGTCAGAATTCATGGGTCCAGAAATCAAGGTGTGGAAATGGGAGTGGCATTTACTATTATCCCTAGTGACCTACTATCAAAATTTGTATTCCTGTCCTTATGATCTTATGCTTTGCTAATCTAGAGGTCTTAGTTCCAAAGGGAAGAATGTTTTCACCAGGAAACGCAATAATGATGCCACTGAACTGGAAGTTAAGACTGCCACTTTGGCTTCTCATGCCTCTAAATCAACAGGCAAAGAAGAGAGTTACTATGCTGGCTGGGGTCATTGATCCTGATTACCAAGGGGAAATTGGACTGCTACTCCACAACAGGTGTAAGGATGAATATATCTGGAATACAGGAGGTCCCTTAGAGTATCTCTTAGTATTACCATGCCCTGTGATTAAAGTCAAGAGGAAACCACAACAAACCCAATCCAGGCAGGACTAGTAAAGGGCCCAGACCTTCAAGAATGAAGTCACCCCACCAGGTAAAGAACCACAATGAACTGAAGTTCTAGCTGAGGCTAAAGAGAATACAGAATGGGTAGTGAAAGAAGGTAGTTATAAATACCAGTGACAGCCATGTGACCAGTTATAGAAACGAGGACTGTAATTATTAGAGTATTCCTTCCTATTTTGTTATAGCTGTGTATGTGTGTATCTTTGTTTCCTGCCCACTCTTATCCTCTTGTCATGTAACATGAGATGTATTTGACTTTATATCATAGTTTTTAAGTATTGTTAACTTTACATCACAATATTTAAGTTACAGGATATCAATAAGAGTAAGCATTGCCAAAGGACTTTGTTTCCTCTTCTGGGGAAATCATTAGCGAAATTTAGTTGTATTCAAGATAATTAGGCAGAAGTATAACTTTATTATCGTATTTATATAGCAATTGAGTGTGATTTAAGAAGTGTGTATGGGTGCCGAGTTGACAAAGGGTTGATTTAGGATGGCTCATTTTTATATGTCAACTTGACTGGGCTAAGGGATGCCCAGATATTTAGCCAAACATTATTCTTTATATTTTTGTGTAGGTGTTTCTTGTGATCAGATTAACATTATATTGGTAGATGTTGAGTAAAACAGATTATCATACATAATCAGTGGGCCTCATCTAATCAGTGAGGGCTTTAATAAAACAAAGACTAACCTTCCCGAGCAAGAAGAAATTCTGCCAGAAGACTGACTTTGAATTCAAACTGCAATTCTTTCCTAATTCTCCAGCCAGCTGCTGCTAGCCTACTCCATCAGAATTTGGACTTGCCAAGCCTCCACAATAACATGAGCCAATTCCTTAAAGTAAATCAATCTCAATCTTTCAATCAGTCTCCTCCCTCTCTTTTTCTCTACACACACACACACACACACACACACACACACACACACACACTGTTGGTTCTGATTCTCTGGGGAACCCTAATACAACAACGTTGACTCATATGGGTTTCTCATTTTCTGGATATATAATCTTGCTATTGTTCTTAAATTGTACCATATTTAAGTCTTCCTAATTAGACGACATTTTCTCAAGGACCAAGATCATAGCTTAATATCCTTTGTTTTTCCCTTCATCTATTCAAAGCTCTCCTTAGGTGCTCAATTGAAGCAAGAAGAATACAATGGGAATGCTACCTACAACTACCTAGGATCTCAGGTAATTAGATAATTCTTCCCTGGTATACAAAGAAAATATCTGATGATTAAAGTTTCTGCATGGGAAATTGATTACTGGGTATTTGAACTTCTAATATGCCCAGCCTCAGACCTCGAGCTCATCCAATGGAACAATTTGGCTCTGTAAGTCATGATTTTGTAACCTTGTGGTTATGTATATGTAAACTCTCTTTACTTTTTCATCATTCAATTTTAAGTGATGACACTATTCCATGATTACCCGAGTGTTTCCCCTAACATTCTCAAACAAAAACTTTCAGGCTGTAGGGCCACTTACGCCATATTTTCGGGATCTACTGCACATGCACCAACTGCTTTTGTGACATTGACAAGAAGAGCATGGTTTATTCCAACGAGGAGGTTCACAAGTGGTTGAATGCCACTACATTTCCGGACAATAACTCGGTTTTCATATTCTTGACAACATTCTCCCAGTGCGCCCACCACATTCACAAGAACTTCTTCGGGCTGGTCAGTTAAAAGTCCCACTAAAGTTTCAATGGCTTTGTATTCCCGAAACCTAAATTCATCACAAGAAAAGAGGTGGGAGGGAAAGAAAGGGGAGAACAATATTTTTTTAGGTATAAAGTTCTCTGATGATAATTAATAGTAATAATATTAATAAACATCAACTATATGCTCGTTCCATCCTTACAAAAACACTATAATGTAGATACTATTAAAGTCCCCATTTTCAGAAAGTTAATCTGAAGCTTGGTAAATAGCGTAATTAGCATCCACATCCACCCATCTGTGCCCTTAACCTCTGTACTATACAGCCTTTGAAACAACTACAACTTCTTCCAAATCTGAGTGGCAATGATTCCACTATGCTAAGGGCTGTTTCCCCATATTACAGAGACCATTTTACATAAACAAAGCAAAATAAGTCTATTTTGTGTTCAATTGGACATATGATTTTTGTTTAAGATAATCATCATGCTTGAGATAAGGAAAAGTTGCTTCAGAACATCCTTCATAGAGGGTGAGAACTCTAAAAATAAATGAAGAGATGAATTTGAACATTAAATTAAATCAAATGGTCATAAAGTTTACAAACACTTTGAAATTCAATGAAATCATATTTGAAAATGATTATCTTTAAGATTAATTGGTTAGTTGGCATTTAGCTGACTCATCTTGTTTATCTTCATAAAAGGGGAAAGAATGGAACCACTTCTATCTCTAAAGATTCAGTGGGAAATCCATCCCCTCAACCTTAATAGATTTCTGCAGGAAATATGAGAGATACTTTATGTTTAAGTGGCTACCCATATGCCAAACAGCCCACTCTCCTTGAAAGATTATGTCAGCAAGCCCCTGGGCCCTACTGAGGCACAGAAAACATGGGAAGTAGGGGTCTTCTATTTCTAAAAATTCATTAATTCTGCCAACCTAGTCCAAAATGTGCATCTATAAAACCTACAGGAGTAGCATTATTATAGACTCTTTCTTAAAATAGAATTAAATTACAAGACTGTTTTGGTGGCCTTATTTTTATTACAGAATATGGAATGCTTTTTCTTACTTGGTCACATTCTCTTTGCTGATGGAACATTTCCATATTGCCCCTGTGACAGCAGCCAGACGTTCTTTATTGTCGGTTTTATTGAGCAGACTGGCCAGGGGTTTAAGTCCTCCGTGCATCCTAACCAGGTCACGGGTATCTTCATCTTCAGCACACTACACCAAAAGTCAAGTGAGAGGCTAGCAGTGAGTAAGGCATATCAAGATTTCAGTGATTATGAAAGAGGCTGCTATTTGTACTAGCTATGAAACTTTTATCAGAGAGCATAATATTCTGAAGGCACCTCCAAGTAAAGCATAATTCTTCTCTATATTTGCAGCTATCTGACAATGTCTGTCTTCCTTTACATGGTTTTGGCAATGTCTAGCAGTTTCTACATATTTTGGCAATTCTCCAAAGCCAATTCTGATGTAGCCTGGGTTTCCAACAAGACAGAGGCAAAGGTTGGTTAGAAACTTAGAATGTCACACACATTTCTGCAGTAATGCAACCCAGAGTCTTGGAAAAACACAGAAGAGAACATAGATCAGTGGAAGGGATACAATCAAACCTTTAATGACCCCCCAAATCTAAGAGATGAGGAATTTCCCCAATGAAGTTTCTATGCCCAGAGCAGTGTGTCATATCAATAGCAACCAGTCACCCTTTGAAATAAATATGTGTTGCCTAGATGTTTTCAACTGATCATCCTTCTCAGGTTATAGAACCAACAATGATTAATTCAGTATAGGTTTGCTATTATCCTAAGCATACAGTCAGTCTCTGAGGCCACTGAGGCCACATGATACAGATATATATATATAATGCATCATCAGTGAGTGCCACAGGAAGAAATCCTCATCATAGTGTACCACAAAGCACCGCCATGTTTACCTTCTATTTGTGACTTTCCATTCTGGTTCAGTTGCAACTTTTAAACATTAATCGCTATTTCTAACTGTCCCTTAATGCTTATTCTTATGAGGCATATATACCGTCAAAGCTATATATCCTTGTTATGAGCTGGTTGCATGTCCTCAAAACTCATAAGTTGAAGTCCTAACCCCCATACGTCAGAAAGTGACCATATTTGAGGATAGTGTCTTTAAAGAAGTAATTAAGATTAAATGAAGTCATTGAAGTGAACTCTAATTCAATATGGCATGTACCTCTATAAGAGGAGGATATTAGGACAATGAGGAAAGATCATGTGATAACCTTTATCTTTCAGTGACAGTTATCTGTTGCTTAAGCCACCCAGTGCTGTGGTACTTTGTTATGGCAGCCCAAGCAAACTATTACAATACTCTATCAACATGTACCTCCTCTCCAACTCTATCATTTGGGTGCATTCTCACTGTACATTTTAAAATGCATTCCTCTAGGAAATCTATTCTGATTAGGGGGAAGCTAGCATGGCCAGTAGCCAGCCATATATTAATTTGTCTGGGCTATTTTTTTCTACCCCTTTATCATTTTAATCTGTTTTTTGGGATACATTAAGTCCTGACTTAACATCATCAACAGGTTTTGTGACTTTAAGTGAAAAGACATAACAAAATTTCACCATAGGTTAATCAATATAAATGAGTTAAGTTACTACATTATCTCATCAACATTATAATGAAACTAGAGGCCCAGTGCACAAAATATGTGCATGGGTAGGGTCCCAAGTGGCTGCTGGCTGCCAGCTGCCAGCCGGGGCCTTCCTTCATTCCCTCATAGAAGCAATCAAACTCCCAGTCGATCGAACTCCCAGTCATTTGAACTCCCGAGGGGACACTTTGCATATTAGGCTTTTATATGTATATGAAAATTTGTGCACTGAGGTGGGGTGTCCCTCAGCCCAGCCTGCACCCTCTCCAATCTGGGACCCCTTGAGGGATTGGGTCTAAATGGGCAGTTGAACATCCCTCTCACAATCCAGGACTGCTGGCTCCCAACCGCTCACCTGCCTGCCTGCCTGATTGCCCCTAACCACTCCCCTGCCAGCCTAACTGCTCCCTTGCCAGCCCTATCACCCCCAACTGCCCTCCCCTGCTGGCCCAATTGCCCCCAACTGCCTTCCCTGGCCAGCCTGATCGCCCCAAACTGCCCTCCCCTGATGGCCCGGTTGCTCCTAACTGCCCTCCCCTGTCAGCCCAGTCACCCCCAACTTCCCTCCCCTGCAGGCCTGGTTGCCCCAACTGCCCTCCCCTGCTGGCCTGATCCCCCACAACTACCCTCCCCTGCAGGCCATCTTGTGGTGGCCATCTTGTGTCCACATGGTGGCAGCCATCTTGTGGCCACATGGGGGTGGCCATCTTTGACCACATGGGGGCGGCCATCTTGTGTGTTGGAGTGATGGTCAATTTGCATACTGGGCATGAATAATTAGCATATCAGGGCTAATTAGCATATCCCTCTCTTATTATATAGGATAGATAGATAATGTTGAATGAAATGATGTTATCTGAAGACCTGCTGTACTATGTAATGTATAACTCACCAAAAATAATGAAGATTAAAACCCTAGCTAATAAAAGAGTAATATGCAAATTGACCATCACTCCAACAAACAAGATGGCCACCCCCATGTGGTCAAAGATGGCTGCCCCCATGAGGACACAAGATGACCAGCAGGGGAGGGCAGTTGGGGAAGACCAGGCCAGCAGGGGAGAGCAGTTAGGCGTCAATCAGGCTGGCAGGGGAGTGGTTAGGGGGTGATCAGTTGCAGGCAGAAATGGTTAGGGGCAATCAGGCAGGCAGGCAGGCAGGTGAGTGGTTGGGAGCCAGCAGTCCTGGATTGTGAGAAGGATGTCCAAATGCCCGTCTAGGCCCAATCCTGGTTTCAGAATTGGGCCTAAACAGGCAGTCGGACATCCCTCGAGGGGTCCCAGATTGGAGAGTGTGCAGGCTGGGCTGAGGGACACATCCCCCCATGCACGAATTTCGTGCACCAGGCCTCTAGTAAATAAATATATCAATAAAGCTGAAATACACATGCACACATGCACTCATCCATCCATATTGTCTTGGGAGAAGACAAATTTCCCAAGACCACTATATTTGAATGGGATATAATGAAAATCAATATAAAGGTACTATATATATATTTAGCTATTTTACACTAAGTAAATAATTTTAGCAGATAAAGATATGCAAGTGTCTTATATAATTGTAAATAATCAGACATGTTAGAGAAGCTTTCTCTCTGATCTATATAGGCATCTGTCGTTAGCATAGGACAGTGGTTCTCAGACCTCTTGGGCATGAAAATCCCTGGGGGTTCTAGTTAAAAATGCAGGCTTCTGAGTTCCATCCCCAGAGAATGAGACCGTATGCTTAGAAACATGGAGAAGAACAGGACTGTCCACAGGGCCCTCTGTACCTGGTAGATGGCCATGGCGCAGTGTTCCTGCAGCTGCTCATTCTCACTATTTAGGTTCTTTACCAGATTTTCAATTATCCTTTCTGCTTTGATTGCAGCTCGGTAGTTTTCCTAGTAATATGAATTTAAATATTTATGTATATATAATGTATGCACATAAGTATCTATTTAAAATTTATTAATAATTACACTAAATAAACTTTCTTAGCAAATACGCAAGTCCAAGGTTAACATATTGATATAACAATAAGAGAACTTAGTCAACATTTTCAAAAATAAATCCAGTCAGGGCACATACCCAGTTAACGGTTTCATCCCCTGTCAGTGACCCATATGGGAGGCAGCCAATCGATGTTTCTCTCTCACATCGATGTTTTCCTCTCTCTTTCCCTCTCCCTTCCTCTATCTCAAAAAATCAATAAAAACAAAACAAAACAAAAATCAATGAAAACATATTTAAAAATAATGAACCACACAAATACCAATGTAATTAACGTTCTACTAGTTTGATCTTCTCTTTCTAATAGAATGTTGGCTTCCTGAAAAAAATCCTTAGCAGTCATGATAACCTTACAAATTGTTTTTCAACTATGGAAATACATAGTAAATGAGAGCAAGGGAAGCAGAGCAGGCCTAGGTACCTCTGATGCACATTCTTGTAAAGTCCCCACCACCGGAATCAGCATGTTTTCATGAGACGTCTTCAGCAACCGAGCCAACAACGGAATGCCCCCAGCCTTACGAATGGCTTCTTTATTCGCATAACTCTTACTGCAGCTCCACAGTGCCAGCGCCCCACAGCGAGCCACTTCCACGTCTCTGGCATCATACAGACTCGACTGAGCAGGTTCTGCAGAATTATGTGCACAGTCGAGTAGAGCGACCTAAAAAATAGATAAACACAGTGTAGATGGGAATCTTTCCAATAAAACTTAATGCATCCCATAATAGGTACAGGGTTGCTACCAAACTTTCCTTCATCAAAAATAAGAATATTTTTAAAAATTGACTTTCATACCACACAGCAGTCAGTGAAAGCAAAGAAACAAAACCTTTCAAAACACCTTCCTTCAGATTTGGGAGCTTTTACAGTTCCTTCCCACAAGAAATTTAATCTCACCAAGACCGTATTTTCTTAATATGGCTCTAACATTTACATTAGTAAGATTTTTAAACCATGTCCTCAGCCCAGGTATTTCAGAAAAGTAGACTCCTTATAGCCATGAAAAGTGAATGGCCTACGCACTGTTAAAACCATGAGACACAGCCCTCTACCTGCACTACCAAAACCCCAAACAAATGGCACAGTTGCCGGGACCCTCTCTTTGCTTTGCAATAACCAAAGTCACTGAAGACATTAAAGACAGGCAGTTTACTAGGTGTACCAGTTAATAAAGTGGATTTTTTTCAATAGATGGAGTTACACATATGTTGATATATATGCAATTTGACATGTATGCTATTTTGTTGTATTGACAGCAAGCTTCAAAACTTCATATGTCAAATTTTCTGAAGATGTTAACATCATAGATATTTTTACACTTAAAAATGTGGAATTTTGTGCCAAAAAATAGCATTTGAGGGAAGTTTTAATTCATTTCCTCATTTTAAAGCAAAAGTTATATACTTCAGGAAGCTTATGGTGAACATGCTCCATCTCAAGATACTTGTGAATGCTGGTTTAAATGCTTTAAAAGTGATGATTTCGATGTGAAAGACAAAGAACATCCAGGTCAACTGAAAAAGTTTGAAGATCAACAATTACAAGTATTAGATGAAGATGCATGTCAAACTCAAAAACACCTTGCAGAAAGATTAAACATTGCTCAGAAAACCATTTCCAATTGATTACAAGCAATGGGAAAGATTTTAAAGGAAGGAAAATGGGTACCACATCAACTGAACGAAAGACAAATGGAAAACCAAAAAGTCATCAGTAAAATCTTGCTTCAATGGCTTGAAAGAAAGTCTTTTTTGCACCGAACTGTGACTGGCGATGAAAAGTAAATTTAATTTCAGAATCCCAAATGCACAAAATCATGGGTTGATCCAGGTCAACCATCAACATCGACTGTAAGGCCAAATCGCTTCAGAAAGAAGACAATGCTCTGCGTTTGGTGGGATCAGGAAGGTGTGATGTGTGATGAGCTTCTAAAACCAGGTGAAACCCTTAATACTGATCGCTACCAACAACAAATCATCAATTTGGACCACGCTTTGATCATAAAATGACCAGAATGGGCCAGAAGACACGGCAAAGTAATTTTGCTTCATGATAATACACCATCACACACTTCAAAATCAGTTAAGGACACATTAAAAGATCTTGCCTGGGAAGTATTAACCCACCCGCTGTATTCACCAGACCTTGCTCCTTCAGATTACCACTTGTCCTGATCTATGGCACATACACGTTCTGAGCAGCACTTCAAAATGTACGAAGAAGTGGAAAATTGGGTCTCTGAACGGTTTGCCTCAAAACAAGAAAAATTTTATTGGGACAGTATCCACAAATTACTTGAAAGATGGGGAAATGTGTAGCTAGCAATGGATATTACTTTGAATAAAGCACTTTTGATGTTTCTCTGGAAAGTATCGTGTTTTCTTTGATTACAAAATCTTCTGTTATTAACCAATACATCTAGTATATGGATACAGCAGTATGGCAGGGTGCCCCATAAAGAAGTGAAACAGGGCCTCCCAAAGCTGGCTTTATCATATTCACGTCTACTCCATTCTTCTCTCTCTGCAGACCAAATTCCAGGGATACTACCCACATAATCAAGAACACCAAAAGAAGAGGCTCTGATTTCTAATTTTAAATTCCTGGGAGAGATAGTTCACGGTAGAATCAGCATGAGTCAGGTGGACACCCATGGTCTAATTCAGTGATGGTGAACCTTTTGAGCTCGGCGTGTCAGCATTTTGAAAAACCCTAACTTAACTCTGGTGCCGTGTCCCATACAGAAATTTTTTGATATTTGCAACCATAGTAAAACAAAGACTTATATTTTTGATATTTATTTTATATATTTAAATGCCATTTAACAAAGAAAAATCAACCAAAAAAATGAGTTCGCGTGTCACCTCTGACACACATGTCATAGGTTCGCCATCACTGGTCTAATTAGTACAGGCCAAGGAAGGACATGGGTAAGGAGTATTTACATGGCTTTCAGGCACCTATTGGGGATAGGGTAGCAAGGTGGGGTAGAAATTCTAAGATAGCGGTATTGAACACATGGCAGACAGTTTAAAAGTTTCTATCTATTAGAAGTATTCCTCATTATCTATATAAAGTTCAAAATTTGTAGCTCATTGGATAAGACCCTGTGAGATGTCCATTATGCTCACCTCTCACTGGTCACCCAACTTCACCTCTTACCACACAGCCCTTCTCACCCTAGGACTGGCCTCATTAAGCCACTTGTGGTTTCCAAGCACTCAATGTTGTTTCCAGCTCTGGGCCTTTATCAACACAACTTCATCTTTCCTGGTGTGTCTGCCTGACAAATACCTACTCACCTTCCAAGACTCAGCAAAGGCAATATCTCCTCTCCAGCCTTTCTTGACCTTCCTCTTCCAAGTAGAGTCAACTGATTAGCCCCTCCTTTGTTCCTCCTCTATTCCCAGCACTGACTTCAATGAAATACCTAATACTCACCCTCTACTTATATTTTTGCCTATATCTCCTCTGTTCCACCGCAATGAAAGCATGATATGACTTTGGTCAGGAAAATACCTTTATTTATATTCATTCCACCACCTAGATCTGTATTTGACACACAATTCAATAAATGATTAAAATGGTTTTCATGGAAAGGGTCAAGTGTGCTATATATACAGAGGAACATGAAAATAGGCCACAGTGCTAACAGCATTAAATCCTGCAATATGTCCAAGTCTGTTGCATTCTTCCTGCTTACTCAGACTCTTCTGCACAGTCTTCTATCCGGTGTGCCTCTCCAGAGCCTGACCTATGTTATCAAACCCACTGTGGCCTGCCTGCTCTTGACCTCAGTTCTCTTGCTGGGATGCCATAACCAGCCTACAGTTCCATCTCTGCATTAGTGATCTCCCTCATTTCTAGTTTTAGTTGGGGACTCTATCCTCTACCCCCATAGCTGTCAAACCAAAAGTGGACCCCCCAATTCTAGTCCTTCCCAGATGTGTTCTCAACACAGTAATTATAAGTTTATTATTAGCTTATTCATCATTGTTTTTTCCTGTACCTACTTAGCTATTATTTAAAATTAAATTGTATGTCATTATCTTGACTAGATTAGTGCCACTGTTCAAATTTCAGGCCCCAAAATGTGATGTATAAGACTCCCATAAAAAACATATTTTTAGGTGTAGTCTACAGTTTCCTTTCTGACAATTCAATGAGAGTAGTGTCAGTGGAAAGCCACATCAGCCTGCCATATAATTTCATTAGTTAAGTAGAATAATGATAATCATAGTAATAATTACCACTTCCCCAAGATTTTATTATGGAAATTTTCAAACATACACAAAGAATGAAAAAATTATAAAGCAACTGTACAACAACATCCATATATCCATCATCTAGGTTCTCTCATAAACATTCTGTCATATTTATCACATAGCTAGACATCTATTCATCCATCAATCCATTCATAAGTCCACTTATTTATGAAGCAAATAATTATAATTTATACTACTCTAGAGATTACAAATAAAAACACAGAATCTCTTTTAGTAAATTTCAGAACACTTTTCACTGTGCATATATTCATATTAAATCCACATTAACTCAATATATAATTATTACCCCTTTGTATGTGTAAAGTATGGGACTAAGTGCTATGGATGACACTAAGATATATAAGATTTGGCTCTCATCTTAAGGAAGTTAAACTACAGAAGTGATGAATACAAGTTGTGGGAAAGACACAAGATCTGTCGATAATTCCTAAGGAGGGTGGAAATGCATTTCCATATTGCACTTTATTAAGGTCTTCCTGTCACGGCAAAGGTATCGAGCAGAATGATAACCTTTATCTTTCAGTGACAGTTATTGAAATAATCATCCTATCTAATAAAATTCAAAAAGGGTAATTAACCGTACCTCCGCTACGCTTCCCATTGGCTAATCAGGGCGATATGCAAATTAACTGCCAACAAAGATGGCAGCTGGCAACCACGCAGCTGAAGTGAGCAGGAGGCTTGCTTGCTCCAATGATGGAGGAAGCCAAGGTTCCCCGCCTGCCGCAGCCCGGCTCTGAGCCCGAAAGCAACAATATTTCAATTACAGAAGCTAAACAAACCCCAGATACCTGCTTTCAGGCGGCCGCGGCCTCAGAGCTGGGAGCGCCAGTGACAGCAACAATGTTTCAATTATAGAAGGTAAATAAATCCCAGGGAAAAAAAAGAAAAGAAAAAAAGGAGAGGCTGGGAGCTTCAGTCCAGGCCAGCCTGAAAACAGCCCTCAGCCCCTCACCCAGACTGGCCAGGCACTCCAGTAGGGACCCCCACCCTAAAGGGGTTGTGGCCAGCCTGAAAACAGACATCAGCCCCTCATCCAAGCTGGCCAGGCACCCCAGTGGGACCCCCACCCTGAAGGGGGTGTGACCAGCTGCAAAGAGCCATAAGCCCCTCACCCAGGCTGGCCAGCCACCCAAGCGGGACCTCCACCCTGATCTGGGACACCGTTCAGGGCAAACCAGCTGGCCCCCACCCGTGCACCAGGCCTCTATTCCTATATAGTAAAAGGGTAATATGCAAACTGACCCTAACAGCAGAAGACTAGGAATGACTGGTCACTATGACACACACTGACCATCAGGAGGCAGATGCTCAATGCAGGAGCTGCCCTCTGGTGGTCAGTTGCTCCCACATGGGGGAGCTCTGCTCATCCACAAGCCAGGCTGATGGCTACCAGTACAGCGGTGGTGGTGGGAGCCTCTCCTGCCTCCTCAGCAGCACTAAGGATGTCTGACTGCAGCTTAGGTCTGCTCCCCGCTGGCAAGTGGACATCCCCCGAGGGCTGCCGGGCTGCCAGAGGGATGTCTGAATGCCATCTTAGGCCCAATCCCCCGGGGAGCAGGCCTAAGCCAGCAAGTGGTCATCCCCTGAGGGGTCCCAGACTGCGAGAGGGCACAGGCCGGGCTGAGGGACCACCCCCCCAGTGCACAAATTTATAACCAGCCTAATAATAGTTTTTATTATAAAAGTAATCTACACTAAGAAAAGAGAAACATGCAAATTGGTGTCACTCTGCTACACCCACCAGCCAATCAGGATGAGTATGCAAATTAACCAAACAAAGATGGTGGTTAATTTGCATATGCAGGCGCGGAGCAAAGACTGAAGACGACTGAAGACGGAAGAGGCTTGGCTTCTCCGCTGCAGCTGGAGCAGAGAAGCCAACCCTCGCTGCTGTGGCCCGAGCAGAGAAGCCAAGCCTCGCTGCGGTGGGACCAACGGCCTGGGTCCCGGGTGCCGGAAGAAAACCAGTGCCAGCAGCCAGGGGAAGGAAGGCCTATTGCGGGAATCTTCATGCAATGGGCCTCTAGTACTTCTATAACAAACTGACATGTATTTGAAAATAGGAAGAAAATTTGGTAATCATTTCACAGAAAACTCCTGTCAACAATTTTCTGTGTTTATTTCAAGTGTCTTTTCTATAATTTTTAGGTAGGCCTTTAAAAATTGGGTGAGAGGTACCATTGTTTTTTAATCCTGTTATGATCTTATATTACATTAAATATTCATTTATCCTTTGTTCCTAAATAAACATCTAAAATACACCACTGATAACATTTACAGGGAACTCATACAACTTAATGAGAGGAAGATAAATGATCCAATAAAAAAATGGGCAATGAACTTAAATAGATACTTATCGAAAGAAGACAGAAGGAAGGCCAAGAGACATATGAGAACATGCTCAAAGTCACTAATCATCCAAGAGATGCAAATCAAAGCGACAATGTGGTACCATCTCACACCTGTCAGAATGGCTATCATCAACAAATCAACAAACGACAAGTGCTGGAGAGGATGTGGAGAAAAAGGAACCCTCTTGCACTGCTGGTGGGAATGCAGACTGGTGCAGCCACTGTGGAGAACAGTATGGCATTTCCTCAAAAAACTAAAAATGGAACTCCCATTTGACCCAGTGATCCCACTTCTAGGAATATATCCCAAGAAACTAGAAACACCAATCAGAAGGGATATATGCACCCTGTGTTCATAGCAGCACAATTTAAAATAGCTAAGATTTGGAAACAACCCAAGTGCCCATCAGCAGATGAGTGGATTAGAAAACTGTGGTACATCTACACAATGGAATACTATGCTGCTGTAAAAAAGAAGGAATTCTTACCATTAGCAGCAGCATGGATGGAACTGGAGAGCATTATGCTAAGTGAAATAAGCCAGGCAATGAAAGAAAAAATACCACATGATCGCACTCATTTATGGAAAATAAAGAACATTATAATGTGATGAACAAAAAGATAGATACAGAGGCAGTAAAGCATCCAACAGACTGTCAAATTACAGCGGGAAGGCTGGGGAGTGTTGGGGAGTGGGGGAAAGTGATCAACCGAAGGACTTGTATGCATGCATATAAGCACAACCAATGGACACAAGACACTGTGCCGGCGGGGGGGCGGGGGGGGGGGGAGGGTATGAGGGCATGTGAAGAGGGTAGGGGAGGCTGGGGGAAGGTCAATGGGGAAAAAAAATGGAGATATATGTACTACTATGTGTAATACTTTAAACAATAAAAAATAAGTAAATAAAATACACCACTGATAGAGCTTCAAATAGGCATTTCTTATGGATATACTGCAAATTATCTTATTAATCTCATATTGCAAAACAAGTGTTTTCAGTTGGCACTCTTATGGTTAACAATAAGATGCGCCTCTAACTGTCACCTTGGGGACAATCTTCATGGTGATATCACCACGTTGGAGGGAAAGGCTACCAGACTGCTTTCTACTGCACAGGCTTTCACCACCTCTCACCAACACTGTACACAGACATGAATGTATCCCTACGAATGTGATAGGTGAGAACTACAACGATTTTTAAAATTTATATTTATTTGCAAAGTAAGGCGGAACATGTGTTTTGCCACTTGCTAATATAAATACACAAAAATAATTTTCAAGGACTTGGTGTATCCAAAGAAGATTCTCAGAACATGCCCTGTGGTTATCTAATGTCTGGGAGTGGCAGGAAAGGACAGCATGGAGCTGACATTTCCATGCCAGCTGCTGTGCTGTTGCTGCTGATGTCAGTGGTACTCACCAGTTTAGTGATGCCCCCATGGTGTCTCACTGCCCACCTGGCTCTTCTAAACTTGGCAACATTCGCAATTGTCTCAGCTGCCAAACATTTCAGACTCTTATGTGGAGAATCAAGTATATTAACCATAATTGGTAAGCCCCCAAGGTCAACAATATTACGTCTGATTTGAGGATTATGACTGATTTCCTTCAGGATTTTTAATGAACCAATCTAAATGAGAAAAAAAAGGTTATAGATGAATGTGTGCTTAATACAGAACCAGTGCTATATTTTTTAAAATTCCAAGTCTACCAAAAATCCTTCCCCAATTAAGTTTTTAGAGAAAAAATTTCTATTTCTAGGTGTTACACATAGCCTATATATTTCCCTTTAATTATATAAACAAACACTCATCATTTAAAAACCAGACACTAATGAAAAGAACCAGATAGAAAAAAGAAAAGCAGAGAGATGAGAAGAGCAGCCAACAGTAGAAGTAGCAAGTTATCTTAGCAGTAAAAATAGCAGATAAGGCGAGAACCAGGCCGTAGGAGTAGCAGACACCTAGCACTAAGAAGAGACCATGAGAAGGTATAAGAAAGGTCCCTCATCCATTGTAACAAAGCCACTCACCTTACATTTGACTTCATCTGTATCAAGTAAATTGATTAAAACTTCAAGGCCTCCAACATCCCTGATTGCCAACTGGCAGGTCTCTTGCGCTAAGTTGAAATCCTTCATTGAACACAATGCAATCACTGTAGCTGTCTGATTTCCTCCCTATGAAAACACCATGCCACAGAAAGGTTAAATAAGATCATTCTCTACACAGTTATGACTCCATGAACGGGGAAACATGTCTCCCATACACATGGCACATTACTTTTTTTAAAAGTTCTCTGAGCAGGTTATAATGTGTTAAATGAACCGTGTAGAGCTAAAGCACAAAAAAAGCTGTTCAGTGTTATAAAACATTATTCCAATTAAGCATCAACATTTAAAGGTGGTCTGTGTGTTTTAAACAGCTACAACATTAGGTGGTATTAGTGTATTCAATATGCAAAGGGCAAACCTTGAGAGAGCGACTAAGGAATGTAAGTTTTATGCAGAAGTAACAGGCGGTTCCTGTAGTTCTCAACACTATGCTATGCAAACCATGTCTGAAAATTATTCTTACAAATATGCATATGGCCTTATATATGTGTGTACATTCTTACAACTGGGAAAACATGGAGAAAGGGAAACCATGTGGGAGGCAGTACAACAATCCATATTGAGAACAAAAGAAGGTACAGTAAAGGCAGTAGGGTTGTGAAAGAGGTAGCAATTTTTTTAAAAATTGAATTTATTAGGTGACATTGGTTAATACAATTAATAGGTTTCAGGTATACAATTCTATAATATATCATCTTGTATTGTGTGTTCACCACCCCAAGTCAAGACTCCTTCTATCATCATTTATCACCCATTTGTACTTTTTTGTAGCTAACGATTTATGTATGGTAAGTAGAGGGTAGTATTGCCTATAGATGTGGTCGGCAAACTGCGGCTCGCGAGCCACATGTGGCTCTTTGGCCCCTTGAGTGTGGCTCTTCCTAAGCCTTAGGAGTACCCTAATTAAGTTAATAAGAATGTACCTACCTATATAGTTTAAGTTTAAAAAATTTGGCTCTCAAAAGAAATTTCAATCGTTGTACTGTTGATATTTGTCTCTGTTGACTAATGAGTTTGCTGACCACTGCACCATCTTCGACATCCCCAACCCCTTTTCCCTCTGGTAATCACCATACTGTTGTGTCTGTGAGTTTTGTTTTTGTTTTATTTTGTTTTGCTTAATCCCTCCATCTTTTTCACCTCTCCCTACAACACCTCTCCCATCTGACAGCTGGCAGGCTGTTCTCTTTATTACTCTGTTTCTATTTTGTTTGTTAGTTTATTTTGTCCTTTAGGTTCCACATATAAGTGAGATCAGGTGATATTTATCTTCCTCATACAGGCTTATTTCACTTAGCATAATATTCTCCAGGTCCATACATGCTGTCGCAAAGGATAAGATTTCCTTCTTTTCTACAGCCAAGTAGTATTCCATTGTGTAAATGTAACCAGCTTTTTTATCCATTCATCTATTGATGGACACTTGGGCTGCTTCCAAATCTTGGCTATTGTAAATAGCGCTGCAATGAACAAAGGTTTACATATGTTCTTCAAATTAGTATTTCAGGTTACTTGGGATATATTCCCAGAAGTGGAATTGCTGGATCCATAATTAATTTTTGAGGTAACTCCATACTGCTTTCCACAGTGGCTATACCATTCTGTATTCCAACCAACAAAGCACAAGGGTTCCCTTTTCTCCACATCCCCACCAACACTTATTGTTGACTTATTGATGATAACCATTCTGACAGGTGTGAGATGATATCTCATTGTGGTTTTAATTTTCATTTCTCCGATGATTAGTAACATTGAGGATCTTTTCATATGTCTATTGGACATCTATCTGTGTGTTCTCTTCAGAAAAGTGTTTATTCAGGTCCTTTGTACACTTTTAAATTGGATTGTTTGTTTGCTTGTTTTTTGGTGCTGAGTTTCATAAATTATAAAGTTTGGATATTAACCTATCAGATACCATGTCATTGGCAAATATGTTCTCCCATTCAGTGCATTCTCCTTTTTATTTGTTGATGGCTTCCTTTGCTCTGCAAAAACTTTTTAGTTTGATTAAAATTAATAATTTTTAAATTTATTTTTTGTTTCCCTTCCCCAAAAAGATATATATAAAATAAAATATTGCTACAAGAAATGCTTTCTTCTAAGATTTTTATGGTTTTGAGTCTAACAATTAAGTATTTTATCCATTTTAAGTTTATTTTTGTATAGGATGTAAGAAAGTACTCTAGTTTCTGTGTGTGTGTGTGTGTGTGTGTGTGTGTGTGTGTGTGTGTCTGTCCAATTTTCCCAATACCATTTATTGAATAGACTATCTTTACCCCATTGTATGTTTTTGCCTCCTTTGTTAAATACCAGTTGACATAAAGGTGTGGATTGATTTCTGGGCTATCTATTCTGTTCCATTGATCTATACGTCTGTTTTTATACCAGTACCATGCAGTTTTGACTACTATGGCCTTGTACTATAGTTTGATATAAGGTACTGTGATACCTCCAATTTTGTTTTTCTTTTTCAAGATTGCTATGACTATTTGGGCTCTTTAGTGGTTCCATATAAATTTTTAGGATATTTGTTCTAGTTCTGCGAATACACCACTGGTATCTTGGTAGGAATTGTGTTGAATCTATAGATGGCTTTGGGTAGTATGGACATTTTAATGATATTAATTCTTCCTGTTTATGAACACCTTATATCCTTTCATTTATTTGTGTCTTTTTAAATTTCCTTCTTTGGTGCCTTTTAATTTCCCCAGTCTAGGTCTTTTACATCCTTGGTTAAATACATTCCTAAGTATTTTATTATTTTTGAAGCAATTGTGAATGGGATTGTTTTATTAGTTTCCCTTTCTGATAGTTCATTATTGGTGTATAAATATTAAATAAAATACACCACTGATAGAGCTTCAAATAGGCATTTCTTATGGATATACTGCAAATTATTTTATTAATCTCATATTGCAAAACAAGTGTTTTCAGTTGGCACTCTTATGTGTAACAATAAGATGCGCCTCTACCTGTCACCTTGGGGACAATCTTTGTGAATGGGATTGTTTTATTAGTTTCCCTTTCTGATAGTTCATTATTGGTGTATAAATATTAAATATGCAACCAATTTCTGGATATTTATTTTGTATACTGCTACATTGCTAAATTCATTTACCAGTTGTAGTAGTTTATTGGTAGAATTTTTAGGATTCTTTATATACAGATCATGTCATCTGCAAATAATGACAGTTTCATTTCCTCCTTTCCAATTTGGATGCCTTTTATTTCTTCTTGTGTGGCTGCTGTGACGGGGACTTCCAGCACTATGTTAAATAAGAGTTAAGAAGGCAGACATCCATGTCTTATCCACAATCTTAAGGGAAACACTTGTAGTTTTTCCCCACTGAGTATGTTGGCTATGGGTTTGTTATATATGGCCTTTATGACATTGAGGTATATTCTTTCTATTCCCAGTTTGCTGAGAGATTTTATCATAAATGGGTGCTGGATTTTATCAAATGCTTTTTCTACATCTATTGATACGATCATGTGATATTTATCCTTCATTTTATTTATGTGGTGTATCACATTTATTGATTTGTGGCTATTGAACCAACCTTGCATCCCTAGAATAAATCCCACTTATCATGGTGTATGATATTTTTAATGTATTACTGGATCTGGTTTGTTAATATTTTATTGAGAATCTTAGCATATATGTTCATTAGAAATATTGGCCTGTAATTTTCTTTCTTTGTCATGTCTTTATCTCGTTTTGAAATTAGGATAATGCTGAACTTGTAAAATAAGCTTGGGAGTCTTCCCTCCTCTTGAATGTTTTGGAACAATTTGAGGATAGGTATTAGTTCTTCTTTGGATGTTGAGCAAAATTCACCTATGAATCCATTTGGTCCAGGACTTTTGTTTGTTGGGAGTTTTTGATTATTACTTCAATTTCACTAGTTGTCATTTGTTTAATTAGATTCTCTGAATCTTCTTGATTCAGTTTTGGAAGATTGTATGTTTCTAAGATTTAATCAATTTTGTCCAGATTGTACAATATGTTGGCATATAGTTGCTCATATTTTCTTACAATCTTTTGTATTTATTTGGCATCAGTTATTATTGCTCTTCCTTCATTTCTTATTTTATTTTATCTCTCTTTTTTCCTTGGTGAGTCTGGTTTGTCAATCTTGTTTATCTTTTCATAGAACCAGCTCTTGGTCTCTTTAACCTTTTTTATGTGGTTTTTTTTTTTAGACTATTTCATTTATTTCTGCTCTGATCTTTATTATTTCCTGCCTTCTACTCACTTTGGGCTTTGTTTCTTATTCTTTTTTCAAGTTCCTTTAAGCGTAAAGTTACATTTTTTATTTGAGATTTTTCTTGTTTTTTGAGATAGGCCTGTGATGTTATAAATTCCCTCTAAGGACTGCTTTTGTTGTGTCCCATAGATTTTTGGTTGTTGTGTTTCATTCTCATTTGTTACAAGGAATCTCTTGATTTCTTCCTTGATTCATTGTTAATCCATTTATTATTTAGTAGCATGTTATTTAGTTAGCCTCCGTGTCTTCGTGTGTTTTTTGAGGTATTGTTTTCTTGTTTTGATTTCTAGTTTCATAACATATGGTCAGAAAATATGCTCGATATAATTTCAATATTCTTAAAATTACTGAGACTTGTTTTGTGTCCTATCATTGGTCTATCCTAGAAAATGTTCCATTACACTTGGAAAGAATGTATACTCTGCTGCTTTGGGGTGAAATGCTCTGAAGGTATCAGTTCAACCTATCTGACCTAGTGTATCATTTAAGGTCATTGTTTCCTTGCTGATTTTCTGATGGAAGATCTATCCATTGATGTCAATGGGGTGTTAAAATCCACTACTATGACACTCTTACTGTCAATCTCTCCCTTTATGTCCATCAAAATTTGCTTTACATATTTAGGTGCTATGTTGGCTGCATGAATGTTTACAAGGGTTATATCCTCTTGTTGGAATAATCCCTTTATCATTATATAGAGTCCTTCTTTGTTTCTTACTATAGCCTTTGTTTTAAAGTCTATTTTGTCTGACATAAATATTGCTACCACAGCTTTTTTTCCCCTTTCCATTTCCATGAAATATCTTTTTCCATCCCTTTACT